TTTGCAGCAGAATCCATTGAAACTTGGTAGGTTAATAGTTCTACAGGAAAAACACCTATGGCAACAAAAATTCTGTTCCCATGGCAACTAACTCCTTTCCAGTCCCCACCCACTTGATTTCAATATGTTAGTGATTTTCAGCTTGAAAAACATTAAATGAGACCACAAACTCGAGCTAACATATTTATATGCTTGCTGGATGGTGCATGTGAGACACCATTAGCAAATATCAAAATGGATCGCCAAAGGTGGCCAGAAAAGCCTTTAATATTGGGGAGGTCTGGAACCCAGTATGTTTCCATGGTAACAAAACTGGTAAGCTCGTACTGTGGAGCACATTTAGTAGAGTCTTACTGCCAAGAATCAAACATTTCTGATACAAATTGGCTGAGATATCTTTTTTTGGATGTGTATGATGTCATCCTTTGGCTAATTTGCATATTTTAAAAACTTGAATATCTCAGGAACGAAAAGAGACATTTTTCTTCTCCTGCAGACTACTTCTTTATGCTTTAAAATGGCTTAAATAGGAGAGATGTGATTTTCGCCATAGTACAACTTTAAATAAAAAGTTGTCCTGGAATGGAGTCATTTGAGAGGGATGAATGAATTTCACATGAATTTGAGAGGAAATTTTGGGTATAATAAGTTTTCCTTTTAAGGTGTATTGGTATACCACTAATCCCTGTGGCCGACCCTGAGAATTTTAGAATTTGACTTGTCTGTGCAATGTTTTCATCACTGAATGTTCTTTTAATCAGACATTGAGCCTTGCGTTCCAGTCACGTGACTTACCACATATGCTTGGGGCTGACTATATGACAGAATAGTAAGAAGTCTGTCTTAGCAACAAAGTTCTAGTTAAGGCAGAGCCCCCTTAACAGAGATGGAAACGAAATGATCTATTCACTGAGGGATATTCTTTCAGCACTTTAGTTGCTAAGCAATGTAACACATCCTAATCGCACAATTTCTTATGTGACAGTGTCCTGCTTGCCCACAGTGGTTTTTGACCGGATACTGACAGTATTATACCCAGATGATACCCAGTCTTTCACCTTGCTCGTCACTCAAAAAAGTGATGGAGGGAGAGAGCTTTCTATAAATTGACACTTTCCTGGCATCTCTCCATTTTGCCCTTCTAAACCCACACACACACACACACACACACACACACAAAAAAAAAATGCCTATAAAACCGTACTTACAAGGACCATAAATGTGTTTACAAACCAACGTTAGGAGGACCACCGAGTTACGAGGACCGACCCTGGTCCTCGTAAACCTTATAGCCCCAAACGGCCTAAATCGTCGAGAAACGTATCTACGACCATAATTAGCGCTAGTCCTCGTAAACCACCTAACATGTGTGTAAAGTAGTGGTCCCCATAAACCACCTTATATGGGTTTCAAGTTCTGCTTCGGTTCAATTACGACCCAGGTACTTTTTCGAGGGAATCAAAGTTTGTGGATAATTGGCAGTATGCGCTCTTTTCAAGAAACGTTTTAGAACCCATTTACACTCCTGTTCAATTTTTGACTACACACACCATTTTGTGGTCCTTGCATCGTTGGTGTGTAAACAAACAGATTCAGATTCAGATTTTTATTAATCGACACTATTTACAGACATATTTCACTATCACACACTATTACAAAAAATTCATTAATTAAAAATAAGGAAAATATAATAATAATAAAACCAAAACAATATCCCAGTATTAAGCTTGGCCTTTTTTATTAGAGAGGTTAAGCATGGCGCTTACGGCAAACGGCAAAAATGAAACTTGTGCCGTCTCTCGTCAGCTGTGTGTACAGTAGAGTGAAATTATTTGTATTTGCAATGAACAGTAGACGTTATTCCATTTGTGTGTGCTTTATTTACGGATTAGAAGAAAAGAACTCAAAATCAGAAGGTATCTTTGCCGTTTGCCGTTAACGTCATGCTTAATCTCTCTATTATCTTAACCATGTTGTGTTTATTTGCTTACAGAAAAAGCGTTACCGATGACAAGCATGGCGGCCAGACATCACTTTTCAAAATTCCTACTTTCCCCTGATAAAATAAAATTCCCCTCACCAAATAAATACAAAAGGCCAGATCTAGTAGCGGCTTCTAACGTGAAATTACAGCCGACCTACCCACTCGATCATTAAGACTGATCATTTTCGGCAAATATTCCTTCTTATGGAATATAATTCATGGAAGGACACATATAGTTTGCTTTTATTTACTGCTGTTTGCTTGCGGTTCGCATTTGAGGGGTGAAAGGGAAGGCGACTAAATGTTTCCTACCATCAATTATATGCCAAAAATATCGTTTCGATCAGAGTGAACCCAAATGTTTCTTCCAGCCTTCAGCGGTATTGAAATTTTAACTTGAACTTAAATTTTATTTTGTTTTCTAACATACAGTTACATGTAAAATTGCTTGCCCTCGCAACTAGTTCCAAAACTAATCGACAAGAGTTTATATTAAAAAAAGGTGCAAATAAACAATAGGAAAAACTACAGGTAACCGAAAACAAAGTCACAGTGTAATGCGCACATACATAGCGACTAGAATATTAATACATTATGTTAATTTAAAAAACTTCTGTATCAGTTGCCATATTACATGCTAAATTTATTAAATCAACCGTGTTAAATTATTTCAATTTTCCTGAGTATTTTTTCAGAACGTCAATTTTCTGACTCAAAACTAAATTCCTGGACTTCTCCCTGACCAGAAAGAATTTTTCCCCTGACCATTTCCTGACCTATGTCAACCCTGACAAGAGTAGGACAAGTTACTAGCGACGCTAAGCCATAAGAATGTTAACGCCCCAGAAGTCATGAATGGCAACAGTTTTCCGACATTCTACGACGTCAAAACAGGACCGTACCAGACAATGAAACACTTATTTCTGGCTATTGTTCATGACGTCTGGGACGTTCTCGTAATGTGATCAATTTCACATTCTGTCCAGTTTATGCCATATTACCTGCTACATTTTAGACAGTAAAACAGAAGACGAACGCACTTTAAAGGAGCTACGTCATATTGTAAAGTTTAGCCTCAATTTTTCAAATTTGTCGTTTGTAATCCGTGTTAATCTTCACCATCCTTGTTACTTTATGCTTTATCATTATCTCTTTGGTGTTTTTCTATCTTATTAAACTGTTATTTTAAGGTTTCCTACCATTTAAAGGTAATTTTGTATGTGGCCAGAATAACTCAAAATACCGTGACTGAGCTCCTTTAAGATCAAATGAAAATCGCTCTAATAAGTTCGATTGATCAAGAAAGACGTTTAAGAATGGAGAAACTTGTGAAACGAAAACATCGTCATGAAGAGTAGCCATAAGTTAAGTCTTTCATTGTGCTGACAGTAACAATAACAATAATAATAATAACAATAACGACGACGACGACGATGACGATAATAATAATAATTATAATCTTTATGGTGGAATCGAAGCTGCTGTCACATTGCGGGGTTTTCAGGGAGGTCCTCAGTAACTAAGGTAAAATACAGTAAAAAATTTAAAACTAATCACAATCAATTCCAAGTACAATGTTATGTTAGACAAAGATAATTACAGTCAAACCTCTATTAATGAAGCGGTCACCCTCGGGAAATAGCCAGCTGACGACTTTTTCTAAAATATAGCATGTAGTATGGCAAAAATTGAACAGAATGCAAAATAGGTCCATAACAACAATATCGCCAAATATGATATGTTGTCAGTAACATCATCAACAGTTTGCCATAACATTCAAGATGAAACAAAAAAAGGTTGGAATTGTCTGTTTTTTAGGGTCGCCTAGTTTAATTTCGCGAGGCAAGTCACAATATCGCACTGAAATTTCACTAGGTGACCGTTAAATAGAGGTGAAATAGAAAAAATTATCAAACTGGGAATTCTAAACGGTGACCGCGTCCGTTTAATAGAGGGTGGCCACTTAACAGAGGGCAAGTTTACAGTAAGAATGTGGAGCGGCTTTCGAGAATTTGGTAACTGACTGCTTAATGGAGGTTCGACTGTATTCCCGCCATAATGTAACTTCTTCTTCTATGAAATAACTTTTTACAAGATCTTTAACGAGGAAGTTCCGCCATTCACCCCTTCAGTGGCTTAAAACGAGCTTCATGTTGGGACTTAGTTCTTGTTCAAGGAAAATTGTAGGTGATCATACAGTAATTTGGTTTTTAGAAGGTTCATTGAAGCAAATGCTCGAGTCAAGAACGGGCTAGCACTAACAAAGGTTTAAATTTGCATTACATGCCCAAAGGTGTTCAATTTGGGAACTACCATCCCTTTTACAGCAGAACTTCCTGTTTAAGCTACTTCAAGTATTATGTTCTACATTGACCAAGCACAATTGCTCAGCATTACAGAAATTGCAAACTGCTCAGTCCTATTCTTTCATCACCAGTTAGCTCATTTGTTCATTAATTTGTAAAAAATTCAAATAGCTTTTCAAATACAGTCAAAGCTGACGACAGTAAAGTCCATCAGTGTTCCAGACAAGCGAGGGGTCTTGGATAAAAAAACCAAGCAAGATCAGCTACATGACTTGAAAATTAATATGATATTTATAATGTTTGGTGGGAGCAGTGGGAATTGACCTGTTGGAATTCCTTGTTGACAACTTGCCTTGAAAACTTATCTGGAACCCTGCATCAAAAAAGATTTAATTAAAACGTGCTGCTTTCTTTTTCAAACTTGCTTTTTTAAACTCCGATCCTGACTAGTGCCTGAAAAAAGAATTAAAAAAGAGGATTATCAGACAGAAAGATTCCACTAATTTTTCATTCTTCCCCACTACCTAACTACCCTTCCATATCAACAACTTAAACTTATAACACTGGACATTTTACCCCCTTTCCTTACTATTCAATATGCTCATGGTTGCTTTGATTTAAGATCATTCTTAGTTTTCTTTTTAACTTTTTAATCATTATTTTTTCCTCTAACCATTGTTAGAGTGTGCTGTGTTGCAGAGGTTGCTCCCTCAATTTTACCACTAACTTTAATGTTAATCTTTTGTCTATTTTATTTATATCCATAGTCATTCCCACCCTTGCATACACTACTTTCGTTTTTACCCACTGATCACGAGATTTCTCATTGGTGGAGTGGGAACCCACATTCCTGAGATTCCATATATCAACACCAAAGGACTACTGACTAATATATTTAATCCAAAACCATTATCCTGGTGAATTTCAGCTCTAGCAGTCATCACATTAATGGTTTTGACAGGAAAAAAATTATCCAGAGAAAAAAAACCAGGGTGTATTTTTAGGAAAGCCTGACATTACAAAAATGCTTCAACACTACAAAGTAAGGAAGCCCTATAGGGGTTACGCTTACAGTTACAACATGCTAACCCGAATTTCACAAGACTCAACCAAACCCTCACCCCACAACAAAAACGTACCCCATGGAAGCTGTTCTATAAATCCAAAACATGCTCACCCTATTTCCCTAGAATTGACCCTCTCTTAACCTAACCCCATAACGACTCTTCCGTAAATACCTCACATATACTAACTCCAATTTCGTTCTCTAAATCCAGGACATGCTAACCACAATTTTGAAAGATTTTACCCACTAACCACAACCTTCCCCACATCCACAAAAAAACTAACCCTTTGGAGCCTGTTCTCTAACTCCAAGACATGCTAACCACACTTCCGCAAGATTTTACTCTCCCATCACAAAAAATAAACTAACCCACTGGAGTCTTTTCTCTAACTCAAGGGCTTGCTAACCACAAGAGCTGCTCACTAACTCCAAGACATGCTAACCACAGTTAGCATATAAAAGAACAAACCCCTTGAAGTAACAACAAGACATGCTAACAACAATTTTGCAATGTTTTACCCTCCCCGCATAAAAAGACCAATCCCTAACTAACCACAATTTTGCAAGATTTCAACCTCGCATTACAACAAACACTAACCCCTTAGAGTCCGTTATCCAAGTCTAAGACATGCTAAACACAATTTTGCAGGACTTAACCCTACTCACATACAAAAAAACTAACCCCTTGGAGTCTGTTCTCTAACTCCAAGACATGATAACCACAATTTTGCAACATTTTACCCTCCCTGCATAAAAACCTAACCCTTTGGAATCTGTTCTGTAACTCTAAGCCATGCCATAACCATAATTTAACCTCCACACCGAAAAAACTAACCCCTTGTGGTATGTTCACTGATTCCAAGACATGCTAACCACAATTTTACAAGATTTTACCCTCCCCACAAAAACAAATAGGTCCACAATGTGTACTTGTGGTCTTATGCTTAGTTTTATTCCATTTGGTTAGTGTTGTTTTTGAAAGTCAGTAAATGGGAATTGCTACAATTTTTAAGTGGGAAATGTATGGCAAAATACTCTCTACCTACTTAACTTTATCCTCTGATAATTATTCATTTAGCTCTTGGTCCCAATGGGACATCACACAATAACAATCTCTCACTTTAGCCCTATATCGTGCAGTGTCCCATGTGGCTTTTTAACTCTCTGAGCTTGGCACTGTTTATGCATGTTAAGTGAACTTGTACAAGAAGTGTGAAGGTGTTTTGCTGCTGTAATTACTAAGCCTGTTTAAATACATAACAACAATAACAACTGACACACTGCACATTGTTGGTCAGGAGAGAATGGGAGGGGTTGCCTCCTTGCACTGGGAAAATGTTTGAAAAATTATTCCCTAAGATACAATGTGGGGCTACTTTCAGCAAACATTATGTACATTTGTAGACGATTTTCCCACTCTTAATTATTATTCTCAAATCCAGTGTTCATATAAATGCAGGGTTTTCATTAAGGGCATCTGGTATAAAGTGGCAGGTCCCTGATTAGTCAAGGGCAGAAGGCACCTACAGGGGTCTGGGAACATGCTTCCCGGAAAATTTTGAAAAATTGAACTCCTGAGAATGCATTTTCCAGTTTCCTTGACTCTAGGAGGGAAATTCTCATTTTGTTATTAGTCCTCATTTACACAATTCTCCTAGAATTATTAAGCAGTGCTACCATTAAGGAATCACTCGCCAAAAGTAATGGTTTTATTCTCTGGCGTTTTTAATTTTAGCAAAGCGTCTAAGTCCTGAATTTATGTTTTTCCATACAGCAGATAAAAAAATGATTTTTAAGCCTGTGTTGCAAAACATTTAGCTTTTTATAGGCTATTCAAGCGAAGCATTATTGCATTATGTGTAGATTTCACGTTCATGTTCAATGCGTTGTAATCACATAATAAATGCAAAATTATGCAAAAAAGTTTTTAGTATGTGAGTCACTGTTACTGGTATACTGGCATGCAAAACTTGAAATGTATTAAATTACTAACAACTAACCTTTTGGACACAACCAAAAAAAATTATCCAGGACACCTTGAGATGTGTTGTCTGCTCACCATGATGAATTTCACCGTTTTAATGCCCCTTACAAATATGCGGCATGTCACGTGCAAGAGTTATGTAACAGCAAAGGCATTTCACAGGAGAAAGGCCCCAAAGTGCAACTGCCAAAAAAACACTTTTCTTGAAAAAAAAAGATGAGGTAATTGACAAAAAAAAAGGGTTTTAAAGGTAATATTCAACTCACAAAGAATAGTTAATTTTTATTAGAGGCTGACAAGTTTATTTTTTTTTTAAATTTTGTACTTGACATACTTAAAGAAGCCGGCTGCTCCTTTCAAAGCAGACGGGTGCCAGTACTTGGGTCCTGGGTTCTAATAACAACCCTGTAAATGATGCAGCAAAAAGTTTAGGGAGGATTGACTCACTCAAGCAAATCACTCTAAAAAACAAACAACTGATTTCAATGACAAGTGGAAATATTTCATTAAAGTTTTGTCTGCCTTACTATTGTTTTTTTTTTCTTGACGTTTTCTATTTTTTCTCTATTTCTTTTTATTAGATAAAATGTAAACCACACTTGCACCATTTCTTTGCAATCGTATAACTCTCCTGCATTGTATTTTAATTTTGTGAATGGGGAGGCAATTAAAAACAAACTTTTCAATCTTTTTCTTTTTGGACTTATTTCATACCATCAAATTGTCAAATTGTCTTTTTAAAAACTTAAAAACCCAATGAGGTTAAAATCTCACCAAGAGCCTGGAGTAGGCGGCACAGTTTTCAAAACAGCTGATTAATTGAGCCAATCGCCGGCTTATTTTGACCACCCTGTAACTGGCTTGTGAGAGTTTGTGTGGTGCAACCAACACCGGATTTCAAGCCAATGAATGTGGGCTTGCAAAAGCATATTAGTTTCAGTGCAATCCGCACTAAACACAAGCCGAATCTAGATATGTTGGCTTGCATGAGAAAACAACTACCCTATTGCTGAGGAAACTTATTCCAACTCCTGCATGAAATAACAAAGAACAATCAAGGCAGTGCAGTTAATTTTCGAAATGAAAGGAAGAAAACCAATCACAAACAGCAGGCCAGAGCGATTTTGAAATAGAAATAACTTACACCCAAAAGTCATCTGAGTAGGACGTCAGGGGCATGTACCTTGACAACTAAAACTTATTTGCGATGGAAAGCTTTTCAAGATTTTCACAAAACAGGTAATACACCTGCAACTACACAGTATGACAATGATACGCCAGAGGTCAAAGAAACAACTCGAAAACAATGACTCACAATTACCAGCAATTACTAGTACCCAGTCTACCTGCCAGACTATTTATATTCCTTGAAGTCTGTCAGGTGTCATCTTGTCCTCAAAGTGACACACAAGATCAGCCTCTGATTTTGTGGTCTGTATGCATAAAATGCCCAAGACCACAAAAACTAACCAATTGGAGTCTGTTCTCTCACTCTAAAACATGCTAACCATAATTTTGCAAGATTTTTCCCTCCCATCACAACAAAAACTAACCCACTGGAGTCTTTTCCATTATTCAAGGGCTTGCTAACCATAATTTTGCAGGATTTTACCCTTGCATCACAACAAAAACCCACCGGAGTCTGTTAGCTAACTCCAAGACATGCTAACCACAATTTTACAAGACTTAACCCTACCTGCATAAAGAAACTACACCCTTAGAGTCTGCTCTCTAACTCCAAGACATGCTAACCACAATTTTGCAACATTTTACCCTCCCAACAAAAAGAAACAAACCCCTTGCCTTGGATTCTGTTCTCTTACTCTCAGACATGCTAACCATAATTTTAACCTCCCCACAAAAAATAACCCCTTGTACAGGTAACTGAAAACAGACCCCTACTATGGACTGGGTCCACAGACTACCCCTTCAGAGCCCCTCCACAGACCACCCCCAAAATAGATAAAAATAAGAAATAAAGATTTCACTTACGGGTTGTCTCATAGATTACTTGCAAATGTGACAGACTTGGGTTAGGCTTGGGTGCAAGTTAAATCATTACCATTTCGTTTGCTGTGGCTATATATGAAAGACCGGGAAGCCTTGAAATTTTGAGCTCCTTCCACTGCCATTTTTTTACCCCCCTTGTAGTATGTTCACTGACTCCAAGACATGCTAACCACACTTTTGCAAGATATTACCCTCCCATCACAAAACTAGTGAGACAATCTGTCCATCACAACAAAAACTAACCCCATGGACCCTGTATTTTTACGTGTGGCTAAATGTAATTTTAATGTAAAGTCAAAAGCAAAACAATGCTGGCCAGCAGTGGCTCTCTGTACATTGGCTCTGTGGGCATTGGTGTGGGGTGGCCAGGGGTTATAGGCAGGAGTCCTTGCAAGGTTCACAGCTCGGATGCATTTGTTTTTGCAACAGATAGTTCTTGTTGAGTTTACTCTGGGCCCGCACCTCCCTCTTGGCATGGTAAGTATGAGTTACGTAACTTTGTTTCATTGTGACGGTGCCTAGTGGTTGCTGCTCACAGAGTTGTCATGGATACCCTATATGTTTGGTTTGGCTCGGATTGATTCGTGGCCCCACCTTCCTTTTTAGGCACCATTCCCCAAGCTCATCTATTGTTGATGAGTTTAAAAACATAACTAATCCATTAGAGTCTGTTCTCTACCTCCAAAAATATGCTAACCACAATTTTGCAAGATTCTACCCTCCCCACAAAGACCCTAACCCACCAGAGTCTTTTCTCTCACTCCAAGACATGCTAACCACAATTTTGCAAGATTTCACCCTCCCCACAAAAAACCGTAACCCATCCAAGTCTTTTCTCTAACTCCAAGACATGCTAATCACAATTTTGCAAGATTTTACCCTCCCCACAAAGACCCTAACCCATCAGAGTCTTTTCTCTAACTCAAAGACATGCTAACCACCATTTTGCAAGATTTTACCCTCCCCACAAAGACCCTAACCCATCAGAGTCTTTTCTCCAACTCCAAGACATGCTAACCACAATTTTGCAAGATTTTACCCTCCCCACAAAAACCCTAGCCCATCAGAGTCTTTTCTCTAACTCCAAGACATGCTAACCACAATTTTGCAAGATTTTACCCTCCCCACAAAAACCCTAGCCCATCAGAGTCTTTTCTCTAACTCCAAGACATGCTAACCACAATTTTGCAAGATTTTACCCTCCCCACAAAAACCCTAACCCATCAGAGTCTTTTCTCTAACTCTCTAGCAATTACTAGTACCCAGTCTACCTGCCAGACTATTTATATTCCTAGAAGTCTGTCAGGTGTCATCTTGTCCTCAAAGTGACACACAAGATCAGCCTCTGACTTTGTGGTCTGTATGCATAAAATGCCCAAGACCAAAAAAACTAACCAATTGTCTGTTCTCTCACTCTAAAACATGCTAACCACAATTTTGCGAGATTTTACCCTTCCATCACAACAAAAACTAACCCGCTGGAGTATGTTCTCCAACAGCAAGACATGCTAACCATAATTTTGCACGACCTTGCCCTTGCATCCATGAGAGGACGAAAAGCGCTTTAACTGCAAGTATCATTTCACACAGACCTTTTTCTCCGCTGGTGTTGGGTAAGTGTGAAAATGCAGGAGATCAATTTATCATCGCTTCATACTGGTGGAGTGTTAAGTGTTGTAACGCCACTTTGAAGCTCCAATATCAACTTATCAACTCCTCTTGAGGTAGTCTGGTAGTATAAAATGCATACCGAAATCAAAACGTCGCATATTTTATTATCGGCTTCAAGCCGCTTAAAAAAACTCTCAGGATTCGAGTCCGATTTAAGCTGAATATTAGCATCTCTAAGATCATTTTCGTGCAGAAAGTTGCATTTGTGGTTAAGAAAATTATATTCCGGGATTGACAACTTAACTGTTTTGTTTGCAAAACACGCAATCACAAACTCTATGCTTGAAATTTGCACCACATCCATGCATGATAGTTTGAATACAAAAGTTAAGTAATCAACTTTTCTTTACATATATCAAAACACCTTGGCCGTAAAGATCTGTGTGAATTTCCCATGTCTGCGACATTATGCAAAGAAACACGTGTTCTTTATTTTGAACATATTTATGTTCATCATGTCGGGGCTGAAAATGCAGACCTTGAAGCTTTGTTAATGTGCCGTGTTATGATCAGCGAAAGCTTCTTCTTGCCCTAAGAAAGCCAAATGTCCTCTTGTGTTGCATATTGCGTATTGCATTCAAATAAAAAGAAGTGTCTCCATTATGAGTGTGGCAGTACTAGCAGAGCCAAAAACAAAGTTTGCAAAGGTCGTTGTATTTCTATAGCCTTTTCACAGGGCTCTGTTACCCAAACATTTTGTTGAAATTTGACCAATATAGAATTTTACATGTACATAATGCATGGTACTGGTGTGAAGAAGTAATGTTGAGGGTTCCAATAATCAACACAACGGACTAGATGGGTTCCAAGGAAAGCCCACCAGGTTAAAACTTATTTTATTTCAGTGCTATTTAGTTGATGCCTACCCAGGGGACTATTACCAAGAGGATGTACATTGCAATATCATGTTAGTTGCATTGATGTTTTGCTTGAATTCAATATTGTGATTTTCCAGCCAAATGTGTTTCCGCAAGAACTTATCTTCTCCCCGATACGGGCCTTACCTTGGTTTTGCCCAGGGTCATTCAATTGTTTTCTTAGGGCACTGATGCCTTCCATTTCAGTCACATGATAAACACGCACCAATTTCCTAGCACAAGAATGTTCCTCTCCTTCTTTTTGTCCATGAATTTCTCGTATTTTTTCGTTTCCATTTGTTTCTATTGTCGTGCATCTTGCATTTTCCCTCAAGTAAACTGTTTTCACACAACTTTTATGGAAAAATCGATCAGTTTTTCGGAAGGGCGCGCTTTCCTCTTGATTCCAGACTCTACCGTAAAACATCATCGTAAGGTTCTGTGGCTTGTTTATGTGCCCACGTTTCAATGCATCCAACTCCTTATATTTAAATTCGAATGGGCAGCGGCTTATTGCTAAACAACAGTAATACATTAGCTGGAAAGCAGGAAAGCGGGAAAGCTTTGTAATGTACACAAGATTTAGGAAGATGCTTATTGTTAGGAAAAGCATCACTTCTGACAGGCTTTTTTCTTCGTTCAACGTGTAAATTCCAGCAAAATCACGCAAATTCATCTTGTTTTGATTCATTTTAAAAAAAATCAAACAAGGTACCTGACCGAAAAAAGTGTCATGCAATCTTGGCACACTGTTGGTGGCTACAACGCTAATAAAGCTGATGCTCATCTTTATATGTATTTTTTTTTCATAAGGTGACATGCACATTAGCACTAACATGCTGCGTACTTCTTTAATTTCGTTAAGCTTGATTTGTAGCTATTTGTTATAATGTTTTCTGAAATATAAAATGCCTTTTCCAAGAGTTCCAATCTCATCCGACCTTACGCAGACTTCTTTATTATTCCCTTATCAGTAGTACATGGTATAATAATAGTACATCCCTTGAACCGCTTACGTTGTGTTCATTGGCAAAGTTTGACAAGCGATGATGTGTCATTGATGGGTAACATTCCTTCTTCTGACAATTGAGACATGCATAGGTCTGTTGGTATTCTGGTTTACTTTTAGTTAAACAGCATTTCTGTCACAAAGCGGCAAGATTATGACACCTTGCGGTAAACATAATGAAGTAACCTGGAGCGCTACCAGATACTCCAGATAAAAGCCCATACAAAACCTTAGGAAAGTTTCCTAAGGCTTTGTATGGGACAACAGGAGGTACTTACAGTGCACACATTTTCTGTCCTGTCATGACACCAAAACTAATCCCTTGAACTCTGTATAAACAAAACTAACCCATTGGAGTGTCTTCTCTACCTTCAAGATGTGTTAACCACAATTTTGCAAGATTTAACCTTTCCTGCTCACAAAACTAACCCATTGGTCAGGAGTATTTTGTGTAACTCCAAGACATGCTAACGACAATTTTGCAAGATTTTACCCTCCCCACAAAAAATCTAACCCACTGCAGTCTTTCCTCCAACTCCAAGACATGCTGAATACAATTTTGGAACATTTTACCCTCCCCACAAAAAAAGACTAAATCCTTGGAGTCTGTATTGAAAGTCCAAGACATGCTAACCACACTTTTGCAAGATTTTACCTGCCCATCACAGCAAAAAATAACCCCATGGACTCTGTATTTTTATAAACAGAACTAATCCATTGGAGTCTGTTCTCTAACTCAAAGACATGCTGACTACAATTTTGCACAATTAATTAATTAATTACATTTTAGTAACTAATTTGTATAAACCTCGCACAGTGCCAAGGAACCTCAAACTACATTCAAATAATCTGTTGATACTCTGCAAAAGGGTTGTATTTCGCCTCACTTGTTTACATGAGAATGCACAAAATTGCCTGTAGCTTTCTTTCAAGAAAAAAATTTCAGGCTACAAATAACACTAGTGCAGTGGCTCGTGGTCAGTCAGTCAGTCAGGAAATGTTACAATTTAAAACTTGCCTGTAACAAGTCTTCTGAGTAATTATCTTTATTTTTTAAATTTGTTGCAATTGAAGAGATACCATGTTGAAATAAATTGTCTGTCTGTTTGTCTGTTTGTCAATCTGCCTGTCTGTCTGTTAATTACGCAAATATTATTGCAGTTACCATTTTTAGCCAAGTTGTTACGCAGGAAGGGTGGAATCCATGTGTGCACGGCAACTCCATAAATGCCTCACCCTCTTCAAACTGGCACTGACATGTTGGACAGCATAACTTAAGAGCTGGAGGTAATTTAACCAGAAAATATCAGTAAAAAGGTCAAATAAAAACATCCCTCTACAACATTACTTTTAAAGTATGCAAATTTACCATCAAATGACACAGAAAAAGGTTGCGAGTTTCAGTAACCGCTAGAAGTGACCACAAAAATATTGTTAATGCAAACATACAGATCAATCAAGGTGGATCAGACAATTATTTAATAAACAGAAAATGAGAGGACTGTATCCACAGCTCTTAAACTTTGGAGCAAATTATCAATTAAAAGAGGTGAAAAGGGAGAGAAAAGAATTGCTTCATCATCTCAGCAGACAAAGCCAAGACTCACCCACTTTTTCCAGAGTCAGTTTAACTGTTGGTAATGACTCAATCACCTCTGGTAGTGCTGGAGGGGAACCCTCATTCATCACCTGGGGATGAGCGGTAAAAAACTTAAAACACAAATACATCAGTATAACAATTAGTCTTTGGGATCTTCCTTGTTTAGTCGCCTCACATTGGGCTAAACCCATCGAACTCATTGCAATTGCTGGAGCCCGGGAATTCAGCTGCTAGAAACAAGATAAAGAGCTAAGGAAAAGATTGGATGATTTGTTCTGTTCAAGAGTTCGTTAACGCAGATTTAAAGGCCCAGTTTCACCCATTCGGCATTGCGGCCGTTTGTTATTGTTTTCAAATGACGAAATGATTTCTGATTGGCTCTTTGCTTGTCGCAGGTTTCCTCTGTTTCTTGTCGGTTCGAAGCGCGCCACTGCAAGATCGTATCTTTCACTTTGTTGGCTGATAACTAGTATTCCAATAGTTTGCCGGATCCGTGGTTCATGGATAGCTTTCCAGAAGATGCCGCAAGCA